CAAATGGGTAGGCAAATTAGCTCAAGCAACTAGGGTTCAAGTTGGGTAATTACTCTCTCGAGGTTTAACCCTTTAATTGGGACTATCAATTCTCTTGAGTTCATCCCAATTCCTTGTTAGGTTAATTTTGGAGACTTAGACTCTCTTTCTCAAGAAGAGTCAAGTCAACTTAGCACAAACCAGTGTTTGCAACCACCAATTCATAGATTAAACCATAAAATTGACCCAAATAGCAAACACCCATAGTATCTAACCCTAGATGGCAACACCCATCAATTACACATACTAGGTTTGAGCCACAACCCTAGCTAATGGGTTTAGCTACTCATGCTTGAAGAAGAAAATAGAGAAATAGATGAAGAACAAGACATATTAATTAAAAGCTAATGTAAATACAGAGAATCTATCGTTAAATCTAAGTTAAGATGCCAAAATTGGCTACACAATAGCTTCTCACAAGCGCAGCTTTGTTCTGGAAATAATTGATACCCTAAAAATGAAAAAATATTCTATTTATACTACGATAGAAAAACTGGACAAAAATGCCCCTATGGGGTCAGTGCGGGCCGCACAAAATGGACTACGGTCGCACTAGGCTCTTGGGCTTGAAATCTTGGCTCTCTGAACTCAGGCTCCACGGACCGCGCAAAATGGATCGCGGCCGCGGAGGTCTCTAATGCGGTCCGCACAAACATGACCGAGGACTGCGCTGGCTTGATCCTTGTCAAATTACATCTCTCTGATCTTCTCTTCCGCGGACCACACATAATGGCAATGCGGCCGCGGAACCTTCAGTGCGGGCCGCGCAAGATCGAATGCGGTCGCACTGCCTTGAAGCTCGATTTATCAGCTCTCTGAATCCCCTAGTGCGGACCGCACAAAGTGTAGTGCGGTCGCACTAGGCCTTTTTGTCCTGAGTTTGCCTTGTCTTTGGTACTTGACCAGGTTTCACTCCTTTTGAGCCGATCTTTGACATTTCGTCACTTTGTCGATCAAACCTGCAATCAAGCACAACTTATGAGCCTTTTGGTACTATTTTGTAAGAATTTATAATCAAAGCGTAAGCAGGAAGGAGCATAAAACACGTCAAAATTCCTAGTTATCATCGTCCCGTAGTCCCAAAGTAAACACACAGCAACAACACGAAGAATACACAGTTCAATTCAAATTCCATACTAAGGTAAAACAGGTACTTCTAACCTAGCATGTTGCACATAATCCAAATAAGGCAGTTTGAGAAAGTAAAGCAATTAAGTTAATTAGACATGCTTCTCTAAGCTAACAACAGGCTTAAATCGCTAGTATAAACAGGAAAAAGAACACAATTAAAATTACTTAAAGAAAATCCGATCTTCAATAATTAGCACAAGTACGCACTCGTCACCTCACGTACAAGGCATTTCAAATATTAATAATACCAAATCCTAAGGAGAGTTTCTCCCACACAAGGTTAGGCAAGCCACTTACCTCAAACCGGCTCAAAATCAACCCAAAACCACGTTCTTGCCACGAGTACTCGACTCCAAATGGCCCAAATCTATTCAATTCAATTGCATAATGTAAGTATAACTTCAAATAACTGATTCCACAAATAAATTCTAAGCTAATACGCGAAATTAGGTAAAATGACCAAAACGCCCTCCGGGCCCACATCTCTGAATCGTGTAAAATTTAAATTTTCAGAATTTTCATACTCTCACGAGTCTAACCATACCAAAATTATCCAAATCCAATGTCAAATCCCCAATCAAAACTCGAATTTTTGGTCTAAGAACTTTCCTCCAATTTTCATACAAATTCCGAAATTAAATGATGAATTCATGTTTAGATTAATGGGTTGCAAGCAAAAATGATTTAAGAATCGTTACCCAATCGATATCTCTGAAAATCCCTCAAAACCTCGCTCAAATCTGAGCTCCGAAGCTCTAGTTTTCACAAAAATGGCTAAACCCTCGATTTTGAACTTAAATCTTCTGCCCAGGTATTTCCTTCTTCGCGAATGCGAAAGGACCCTCGCATTCACGAAGCACAACTTTGTTTGGTCCAGTTTTCCTTCATCGCGAACGCGATGCCCTGGTCGCGAACGCAGTGCACAATCTCCTCCTCCTACGCGAACGCGGGAACACCATCGTGAAAGCGTAGGTATAAGACCTCCCAGCTTCACGAACGCGGGAGAAACTTCGCGAACAGGAAGAATTAAACCAGCCCCAGCTCCTCTTCGCGAACGCGAAGAAGGAAATTAGAACTGGGTTGCTGCAATTTTCTGCAATTTCTCTAAGTTCCAAAATGACCCGTTGAGCATCTGAAACACACCCGAGGCCCCCGGGACCTCAACCAAACATGTCAACCAATCCTAAAACATCATTCAAACTTGTTCCAATCTTTGGAATGCTCAAAACACCAATTTAACATAGGATTCAAGTCTAAGAACTCCAAAAACTCTCAAATTACGCTTTCAATCAAAAAGTCTATCGAACCTCGTCCGAATGACCTAAAATTTTGCAAGCACGTCACATTTAACACTATGGAGCTACTCCAACTTCCGGAATTTCATTCCGACCCTTAGATCAAAATCTCACTACCGAACCGGAAACTTCAAAAATTCAACTTTCGACATTTCAAGCCTAAATTAGCTACGGACCTCCAAAACACAATCCGAACACGCCCCCAAGCCCGAAATCACCCAACGGAACCGACGGAATTTCATTCCAAGGTCGTTTTCACACTGCTCTGATTATTGTTCAAATTATAAAGCTTAAGCTATCATTTAGGAACTAACTGTCCCAAAACACTCTGAAACTCGAAACCAAACATTCCGGCGAATCAAAATAGCGGAACAAACACGGAAAAAGCAATCAATAGTGGATCGGGGCGTAGATTCTTAAAATGACCGATCGGATCTGTACACAAGCTCAACTTTTGTGGCTAAATTTATAATTTATTCTCGTGGCAATAGTACTTCTGCTTAGCTATGAATTCCATAATTTCGTAGCAATAAACTGAAGAATTTGCCACGATCAACTTTAGCTACAAGAATTTATATATTATAGCTAACAATCCATATTTTAGCATCAAATATATAAATTTTTAGTAAAATATTTTCTATTATTTTTAATAAATTATATACAATAGTAAGAATACATAATTAAAAGTTCAACAATATTATTCAAGATAAATTAAAATATTGATATACTCAAAATGTAACGGTATTCTTTTACAAGAGAAAGAATAATTTCATACAGATCCACAGTACATAACTCTTTTACAACACGAATAATAAAGTTTTAAAAAAAGCTAGCTAATATGAGACTAGATAGTGATGGTAATCATTAGCGGACTGTGAAGAGAAGTGAAAACCCAGAAGTGCTCCAATGCTTTCCTAATACCAGGTTCCGACGGCGAGTTGAGAGACATTAGTGGATTTTATTTGTACCAAATGCGTGAAAGAAATTGTTGTTTTCGTGGATATCAAGAAGAAGGGTACAGTAAATAAGATTTTATAGCACTCCATCGATTATCTCACCCGGTGACACCACCTCTTGATCCAGCAAGACGACAATGTTACCCTCCTGATCTTGCAGGACTACCAACCTGTATATACAAAAATGACATCTACACCATAAGGTTAGTACATTAACTAGTTAAGACTTGTCAATCACGTTTAAACCGAACAACATTTCCTTTGGCAGGGTAAGATTCTGCTAGAAACAACAATCCGTTTCTTTAAAATCTTAAGATTATTAATGCAATGTATATACTAAAAGACTGCAAACCGTTCAAAACATAAGCCTTATTTAGATGTTCTTAGTCTGAAATGCAACACTATAAGAAAATACTATCAATATCATAAGCTGCATTTCTTCTTTGTATTTGATAACTAGGCGTTTCCAAGTCTGAAGTTTTGTAAATTCTTAAGTTTGTAACTGCCAAAAAATTAAATTGTCATATTTCTCGGCTCAAGGAAAAAGCACAAGCTAAACCAGTTCAACATCACACTTGTTCCATAACAACAAATAGTCCTAGAGTACTCTAAATAAAATTTCAGAAGTCCTACGGATTTTAACAAGAATTTTGTAAACACTCCATCCTTCACTATATAATATATCCAATTGAATTTGTTTTGAGAAAAAGAGTGAAATATTATACATACCTCATGGTTATTACACTTGTTTGTTTCTACATTGATGCCCAAGTGCCTAAAAGGGCAAAAATAAATTCTTGATAATTCTTTTACAAGAATTTTTAACAGATAACAAAAGAGAAAAGTACAAAGCAACAAAAGAATTAAAAAAATCTGTAGACTTTTTAAACTTCTTAAAGGATCTTCATCCCAATTTTGTAATGTTGCTTTGCTGTTACAGTTCACGAACTATGGCTCCTCCCAAAATTACCTCTTCAAAATCTTTAAATTTTCACTCACTATATATAAAAAAAAATAGGGCAGAATATTAAATTGTTGAATAATTCGCAAAATTAAAACCAAAAATTCATGTCAAGTAGGTATGAGAAAATTAGCAAACCGTAAAATATAGAGATACGAATAGAAAAGCTATGGGGTTCTCTCTCACTCTTCTTCTTTGTCGTTCTCGCATTTTTTAGTCTAGCCATGGTTGAAGAAAGAATTGGGAAAGTGGGGAAGGGGATGTGGGGGTGGGATGTGCGGCTGAAGATATCAGAATGCAGTTTAGGTTTTGGTGCTTTTGCTTTGGGCCAATTGCAATTGTTGTTTGTCATTCCTTTACAGCTTATTTGGATGGTTGTTAGCTATTGCATTGTATCATACCTTTACTTTAAATATAATGTTTGTGTTGATTGTTACTTAAATTTTATTATATTATATCGTTAAATTCATCGTTACATAACGACGAAAAATATCACTTTATGTAACGACGGATTTGGTTTGGTGGCGGCGTTATCTTATTTTTTTTCTCTCATTTTGCCATCTTAATTATTAAATAAACATATTTTATCCTTTACCCTACTTTTTTATATAATGATTCTATTTCGTATCCTATTTTTTCTTCGTAATATTGCAAGTTTTATTCTTCATACTTTTGGTGTGTGACATCATGAAACGACGGCAAACGATACAATCTATCCAAACATTGTATTTATCAAACAATACAATACGATACATTATGAAACGACATGAAATAACCATCCAAACAAGTTGTTACCTGTTGTTATATACTTGTGTAATATAATTTTGCTTTCTTTTATTTCTTAATTAATACATCTTAATTCAGTATAAATGCAAAGAAATGTAAGTGCTAACAATTATAAGTAAGAACACTACCTACGATAATATGAAAAAAATTAATCTATAATTTATGTTAAGTAACATAGGAAAAATAAATTATTTGCATAAAATAAAGATATTCTAAATTATTTTTTCTTTAAAGTTTCTTTCATCCTATATGATATTGTTAGTAGTTTGTTATATACTCCTATTTATATTACATTAGATTCGTATTTTAGTGTTTTATTAGATTTATAAAAAAACTTATGCTTATTCAAATTGAATAATCATTGATCAATGTAAATAATTACAAGCACAAAGTAATACATTTATTGTATAACTACATATTTTTGTAAATTGTATTAGAAAATCACAAGTACTACTTATAGCCTGTTTGGCCAAGCTTATTTTTGGCCAAAAGCACTTTTGACCAAAAATTGAGGTGTTTGGTCAAGCTTCTGGAAGGAAAAAAAGTGTTTTTGAGGAAAAGCAGAAGTGGTTTTGGAGAAGCAGAAAAAAGTAGCTTCTCTCCAAAAGCACTTTTTTGAGAAGCATTTTTGAGAAAAATACACTTAGAAGTATTTTTTTAAAGCTTGGCCAAACACTAATTGCTGCTCAGAAGTGCTTTTCAAACTAATTAGCCAAACACAAACTGCTTCTCACCAAAAGTACTTTTAAGAAAAGCACTTTTAAAAAAAAATACTTCTCATAATAAACTGATTTTTGTAGCTTGACCAAACGGACTACTAGTTTGATATGAATTATATATACTAATTAATTTTTTATACACCCATTTATCAAGCAATATTAAATTCTCAATTTTTTGAAAGACAAAATCCTCTTACTGTATATGAATTATATTAAATTCTTAATTCTTTGATTCAGTTATATAAATAATTTATTGCACAATGTAGTTAGTACAAGATTATAGTTGTTTAAATTTGATATAATTAGTCATCCACATAATTGTGGGATATAATTTCATTTTTTTAATTATAATTGAAACTTATATAGTCAGATCTTTCTATAACAACATATTTATACAACAAGCACTTATTATAAAAGTTAAATTTTTCTCATAATCGATTTTTATGTTATGTTATAATATATATCCAGCATGCGAGAGGTACGGGGATCGATACCTCGCATCTCCATTGTTACTACTCCTTCGGGGTAGGAGTAAGGTCTGCTTATACACTACCGTCCCCAGTGTCACGACCCAAGCCGATGGGCTGCGATGGGCACTCGGTTACGTACCGGGTGCCCGTCGCGGCCCATCGGTATGGGTCGTGACACTTAGACCCCACTAGTTGGATTTTACTTGGTGGTTGTTGTTGTTGTTATAATATGTATCCTCTATAACGATGCTTCACTATAGCAACAAAAAAATATCGGAACAAAAGAGGTCATTATAGAGAGGTTTGACTGTACGTAAGATATACTTTTTAAAAAAATTAAATTTTTAAATAAAAGTTTTACATTTTATTTTTATAAAATTTAATATAGAAGATAAATATTTTTGTTGAAAATTTTTATTCACGCATTTGATTAAATATAAATTGTTTAATAAGATATGCAACTATTAGTGAAAACTTTCTTAAATGTTGAACAAGTAAGTTATTTGTATTTTTAGTTATTATAAAATTCATATTACATATGAATAACTCAATTTAGTTTGTTTATTTATTGAACGCTGAAAAATTATCTTAAATTTGTTGTATGCTATTTTATTTGTGTAGGATTTTCATTATATAAGAGGCTTACATATTTTTAGAAAAATAAGAATAGTATCATTATAGTTAAAGACTTTTGGAAGATAAACCTATTTTGCCGAATATATAACAATTCTAATTTATTATTTAATAGCTTTATTTTAATAAACGTAGTTATATATTTACCTCGTAGAGGGTGTAAGTGTAAGATTTTTATAATATAGGGGAAGTAAATTTGATTTTAAAATACAACAAATGTATCCGAAAATTGATTGATATTATAATGATTAAACCTAAAAATTAAAATAAATAATAAAGTTAGTGGTAGAAGTTTCGTTTCTAGATCTTCTGCTATATGTTAGTACAAGAACTAGCAACAAATTTCATTTTTTGTCGCAAACCCGCCACTATTTTACTATACTTTTTTCAGTTTAATTTTTATTCTGTTTAACTTCTATTTTAAGATTGAAGATGTTTTTCATTTTAATCTTTCTTATTTAGAAGTTAATTAATTCTTCAAGTTATATACATTGTTGTTTTTCCAAATTTCTATATGAAATTATTTTTTCATAACCGCATATATTTTTTAGACTAACTCTTGTCATGACTTTCATAGTCGAAGTAAAAGAATTCTTCGACAAAAATTTTTACAGCTAATTTATTATAGTTAACATATTATTAGTGCAATGATACATCAATTGTATGACAATATATATAGTTATGGTCAATTATGAAAGGTAACTGTCTACTATTCATTTTGTCATGACAAATAATTGGAACAATTAAGCTAACTATTTGTACGTTTTTTTTAACTTGAAGCAAAAATATCAATTGACTACAAGATTGTATCTTAACTAATTTAATGTGTCTAAAATGTTATTATTGCTACAAGAAGCTTTGAGTCATTGCAAAAATTTATGATTAGCTATAAAATTTTACCACAATAATAAATATGTGGCTATATCATTTATGAAAAATAATTGTAGTTATTGAGCCGACTATTGCCAAGATTTATTTTAAAATTGAAGCAAAATTGTTTTTCTCAACTGCAACATTTTAATTTAAATAATTTATTGCGACTAAAAAATTTATTTTGCTATAGTAAGTTTTAGTCTGTGGCAAAAACTATTGATTAGCTATGAAAGTTTATCATATCAAAACATTTGTGGATATATTATTTTGTCATGACAATTAATCGTAGCTATTAAGCCAACTATTGCCACAATATTTTATAACTTGAAGCAAAAATATTTATTTAGCTACAACAATTTGTTTCAAAAAATTTATCATGGCTAAAAGTATACTATTGCTGCGGTAACTCTTAACCCGTGGCAAAAATTTATGATTAGCTATGAAATTTTACTGTAGCAATAAGTTTGTAGCTGTTTAGGTAGTTATTGCCGCAAAAATTAGTAATTATAGCAAAAATAATGAATTAGCTTTGTAAATTTAGTTTTGTGGCTAAGAGATTTTAACAATTTGTAGATAGCCACGAAATTCTATTTTTTGTGGCTATTAGTGAGTAATAGCTACGAAATTTAGATTTGTAGCTTAGATTTCGTAGCTACAGATATATTTTGTTGTAGTGAAGGTTCGTAGGTAGTCGAGCGTTTCTCCTTGTCTTACTCAATTCTCTAGCATTAGTGTTAGTTTGTGTAACACCCTAGGAAAAAAATTGACTTACTTAAGCACTAGTAAGAAAGTTGTTGTGTGCTAATTAAATTATTTTGTGTGCGGACGAGGATTATTGATATGATGAATATCAATTGGATATGATAATACGTGTGCAAGACATATTATGAGTGATGTTGGTTCTAAGGAGAGCCCTCCGTCTAAGTCAAGTTGGAAAATTACATGATAGACTACAGTTCCAAATGAGTACGCACAAGACCAAACTTTGGATGAGTATATCTACTTATATATAAAGAATTATGTGATGAACTATCAATAAAAGATCTTCGAGTCTAGTTTCTAACGCTTCAAACCGTTCATCATTTGGACACTCCTACTAGAAGTTATGACCAAATTACCAAAGGCTAAAAGAATGTGATTCTGCGGTCAGATGTGCGATAACAAAAACATTATGCAAACCGCAAAAGTGGTCTGTGGACCGCAAAATGGTCGCAGCCCAGTTCTGGGCACCAGTTTTGCGGTCCATTGTGTGACCCGCATACCCATTGTGTGGTCCATTGTGCGACCGCAGACCTGAGTTCGGAGGGTCCATTTTTTTATTTTCATAACCCAATCCCATTTTGATAAATAGGCTTTAAGGATTATTTTGGGGCAATTATTTGATGATTTTAGAGAGAGGTAAGAGTATTTTAGAGAGAGAAGGAGGAAACCTAACATTCTAATCATCCAATCTTGCACCAATCTTCAAGAATCAAGGAAGCCAATCACAAGATCTTCATCTAAGAGGTAAGGTTCCATACCCTAGCTCTTAATTTTGAATTTTAACTAAAGATGGGTAATTAACAAGATAATTCTTGGGTGTGTGAGTTGTTTATTTTGCATGCATGGGTTATCAAAGGGTGTAGAAAGATTGTTGAGCTAAAAAAATGGTAAAGAATGGGTTGTGGGATGATGGAATCCTTCATAAAGGGACCTTGAAACCTTAATGCACACCTAGTGTTACGCCCCGCAGTATTACGTCGATGTTGTGTTCTGCAGTAATATATTACGATGATGTTACCTTCTGCAATAATATATTACGATGATGTTATGCCTTGCAGTATTACATTACGATGATGGTACATTTCGCAGTATTAAGTTACGACGGTATTGC